CTGCACGGCTTTTTGATGTAGTTAGCTAACAAACGGGATGCCGCTTTGATGTCATAATGCCAGCTGCTCTCAACCAAAATCCACAAAGTACAGCATGTACCTCCTGTAAAGTTGTCTGTTTTCTAAAGTGGTCAAGCTTTAGCTGTGCTGATTTCAATCCCATAAGGCTGAAGGGTGAGACAGTTTCAAAATGCAGCTGATTTGCTTCCTATCCTACAGTACCAAGTAATTTTACTGTTCAAGAGCCGCAGTGCATGAAAAATGCAAAATATGTTAGAGGACCCTAATAAGCAAAAAAAAAAAAAAAAAAAACACTGAATCATAATAATACACTTCATTACCCCATTCTCAGGACATAAAATATGCAAGGAGGCATTAATTTGTTATCAGGTTAATTATCTGTGTTTCAGAGTTGCTGAGGCATTCACTTTCCCAGATTAATGAATTATGACTCTTATTTACTTTGGGTGGCTTATTTCTCTAGTGTCAGAATGAAGCACAGAGCGCCAGGGCCTGATGGAAGAGGAAAACCCAAACAGGAAATAGTTTAAAAGGGGATACAAAACAGCTCCATGAACTCCAGCTTCCAGCATCTCTAACAAATAAACAGGCATCATGTCAGCCACAGGTGAAATTAAATCGACGCTTCTGTCATTTTTAAAGATGTAGTGTTTCAAAACACCTAGCAACGCAAACCTTGGAGCATGACTGTTTTTTTGACTGTTTCGCTGTATATTTAAAGACAAGTGTCAAATGAAAGAAAAACCCAACATAACCTGTCTTCAATTTAAGACCCAACTGTAAAGTCTATTTTGACCAAAACTGTGTGAAAGATAAAATTGTTTTATGCTTTGTAAAGCTGCAGAATGTTAGGTAGTGTTACATTTTATCCAAATTTGATATCAAAAATATCACATAATGTGGCTTGGAATTTCAAAAACATGGCTTCTGGATTTATCTGGTGTATGTTTGCTGTGCAAAATCCTGTGAGCCTGCACCAGTTCCTGATACCAACAGAGGATGTATTATCACGGTCATATGCAAGTGTTATTCAAATATGATTTGATTAGTTTCTGGTGGAAAATGAATGCCAGCTAATGCATAATTAATGCCACACAGGGCAAGATGCACTGATACCTGCCACAGGCTTTTTATTTTATTAAGGCTGATGTGGATTTTGCCTCTGAATGTTGACAATTTTACTGGTAATACTGTGAAAAGAAGAAAGGCAATTTGGGAACATTTCTTGAGAAACCAAAAACCCAAGAAAAAAGGCTTTAATCATATTTAAGGGAATACAAATATACTGTATAGTCTGCCCATTGCAACCCTCTCATTGTAATGTTTTTTGATTGTGTATGAAATGTAAAACATTATGCAGGTATAATAAAAATGAAATGAGTTTTATTCCTTATTGTACATTTCGTCCTGCATTCTGCGGTGGCAGGGAGTCTTACCGTTAATGTCACCCAGGTAGAAGTATCCATCGACCAATGAAGATCCATTGTTGAAGTGCTGGGTCATATGATCTAGCCAGTTGGCTTCTACGCCTTTGATCCCCTCGTCACAGTTTTGAACCCAAAGAGGCACCTTGACAGTATAGTACTTCCCGTGGCCCTCTCGGACAAGTGGCTTGTTGTAGAAAGCGAACAGCTCCACACCTGTAGAGACACAACAGCAAACAAAAACCTCATCACTGATTTAACTCAGAAAGGGTTGGAGCCTTTCTGGAAGTCCCATGTTTTACTACATGATTATTGAACTACTGCTGTTCATTGGCCAGAATCCAAAGTACAATTTGGCTCCATCTGCAGGAGCACTATTCCCACTCATCGACTGCCAAAAGTTATATGAAATGGCTCAGTAAACAGTTGGATCAGAGACAGCAGAGTTATTGCCAGAAATATTTTACTGTTGCAATGCAAAGAACAATCTGTAGTATCACATTGCAGTCTGATGCAGGATAAATGCACAAATGCTCTTTAAGGACCTCTTACTGTTGGAGAACTTATTTTGCCGTGACATTTCAACACTATCCACATTGTGATAACAAATCATTGGAAGTACATTTATTTCCTATGAGATAGCTACCAGGGAAACTCAGCCAGCAACAAGCTTCTTGGCTAAGAAAGGTTTGTGGTCATCAGCCAACAACAGCAAATCCTAGTTTGAGTGCTTTCTTGTTTTTCAACCACATCTTCTTGTCCTGTGGAAGATATGCAAATCTAGGGGGATGAATTTCCTCTTTATAAAGATGAAGTATACTGGAAAAAACTAAAGACAAACAAACAAAAAACTATGTAAAGAAGGTGGTTTGTATGGGTCCTTGAAAAAAATAACAAAAGCTAGACTCAGGAAACTGGTCACACAAAACTATGGCAGCAATGATTTAGAAATTATTACTACATTAAAATTAAAGACATTCCAAAAAAAAATTTAAAAAGTGCTTGAGACCTTTAAACAAATTCAACTGTGACTTGTCGTTTGTCTGCTTTTTGGTGCATTTTGGTGTTAGCTACCTCAAAAAGTCAAAATTCATGATTATTTTGCCTAAATTTCTTTTCTTAATTCTTGCTGTATATAATAATTATGTTGTATATATAGCATAGAATGTTTCCTGTGGATTAAGAGGTTTGGCTTGGTGCCTGAACTCTTACCTCCTCTCTCTTCATCTGTCCCTCTTTGAGCTTTCTCATCCATTCCTCATCATCATGTTCCCTCTCTATTGAGGTGAACAAACTCCTAATAAATATATGGATTAATACAGGCTAATTATTTTTCACTATGTATTAAACACATTTGATAAAATAGGGTTCTATCTGTTATCTAAATTGACCCTAACTGCACCTGTGTATGTGACTCACCATGCTGTTTTACGAGTTTCCTGGGCAAGTCATGAGGTGCTTGATTATATGATTTATTGGTTGGATTGATGTTTTTCTATAAAGATTTTAGTGTAGCAGGGCACCACGCTGGTATGCAACTTTAGTTTACAGTGGACATGACATTCACTGTACAAGAATCTGATTACATAGAAATGACTATTTATTTTATTTGTAGGATGTTTTGTATCATTTAGAGATGTACTATATGTGCTCTATTCTGTAAGAGGTTTTTAATTGTGTTTTGTAGGAAGGATAGATTTGTATGCAAGGCTGTAATACAAGCTTTAGTGTCATTATAATACCATGACCAAAGGTTCCACCTGGCAGGTGAAAAATAGAGAAATGAAGAAGTAATACAAGGTAAGATTTGTGCTGCCCCGAGTTGGACTCACAAATGCACTGCAAACCCAAGGATGCTGACCCTCTTTCCACTGGTTCCTTTTAAACAACAAATGTGAAGTGAATCAAAAGTATTTTGATTGTGTTCATGCAACACATTGTCCTCATATTACTCGGAAAGTTTTACAGAAGTGTTGTAACCCTGCTCTGCTCAAACTTGAAGGGGACCGTTTCACTGTAACCAAGTAAATTTATAGTTTAACCTTGAATAATGCATTTAAAGCTCTCCAGCTTTAAAGCAAAATGCACATAATGCAGGGAGCCTCAGGAGGGAGAGGCAGGCTTGGAAGTGTGCCCACAGTACGTATGTCACTGCTCCTTGCTCATGTTATACCAAATCAAAGTGGAAAGACTTTTATTTGTTGTGATGTGAGTGAGTGAAAATTTTGTTGTGCTTAGCTTTGAGAAGAGAAATAATACGAGATGTGTGCGGGGTTCAGATCAGGCAGAAAGCCATTCAGATCAGGTCTGGTAACATTTTCCCCTTTCTTTTGAATGCAAATCTTGAACGGTCATTCCCCAAATGAAGCAGATGGATGAGCAGAATGTGCAGCACTGCCACCCACCCGTCCACCCACACACATACACATACCCTGGCCTGGTAGTGTTGGAGGAGAGTCATGGCTCAGTTGCTTTGGTTCTTCTGTCCGTCCATCCGTTGGGCGGACACCCAGCAAGAATGAATCATTTATAACCATTTCTTGTCTGGCTCGTCTAACTAATGTGACAGCTGGCAACCAAATTCCCAAAATCTTGTCATGTGTCACTCTTGAGAAAAGTCAAATCACACCAGAATATTCCCCCTCTTGCTGCTCATCCTCCCTCTGATACCCATGTTACAAGGAGGACAATATGGCAAACAAATCTTGGACAGTACATGACAATGAAATTACATCCCATTCACCATGCTTCCCACTTGCCAAAACAACACATTTCTTCACTGTGAATGATTCTGTAGCGATCTGTATCATATTAACAGTTTATGTGCACCAGCCTGAGATGATGCATCGCTAAAATTTGTCCCATGAATCCTCTGAGCTTCAGGCAGGTCATGAAGAAGACTGTTTGAAAAATTGTCTCATGTACTAACTGATTTAAAAATGCAGTGAAGCTTTGGGTTGCATACCCAGATTTCTGTAATCACAGTATAATTAAATAAGTAACAACATTACTCCATATTCCACACAAATTGTATTCCACTTCCACTGGTGGGACTGTTATAGATGTGTAACTTTTTATAACAGCTTGACATAAAATATCATGCACTGCTGCCTGGCTTTCTCACAATATTAGCTGTTTTCTGTGTAATAGCTGAGAATTTCCCCTGCTTTATATTTCATTATAGTCTAATTATGCTATGATTATGGCACCAAGGTGACTGTAAGTAAGGCAGAGGACTGGGTAGTAATGTGTTTTTGGTCAAGAAAGTTAATTTCAGGGACTGTAAACAGCTTTTCAGCAGTGCTCTCTTCATATGAGATGTAGCAGAGAAGCCACACAGGGATTAATGCCTTGCCTTAGGGTAACTAGAGCAGAGCAAAGTGTGGGAAAATACCAAAAGATAAGCAGACTGCTGAAGGGTGTCATGCTTTCATAATTTCACTTTATTCATTTATTTTTTTTAAATATAGTAATACTATAGTATGCTACCTCTGTACCTGTGTGTCATATGACCTGTCCCTCCTGCACTTGCGGGCTCTTCCACAGCAGCATCCTCTTGGCTGCTGCTCACCCCTCTCCTACACCTTCCTGATCCTCTCCTGCTGCTTCACCAGTGCTAGTTGAAGCCATTAAATATTCAAAATGAATCGGCTGGATTGCTAATCACACTGATCACATTGATCAGCTTTCCCATGTATGTTTTTCGATAGTCCCCTGGAGTGAGGGGGTAAGCATTCAGCGTTTATGAACTAGCATTAAGTTTATCCATTTGCAGAGCAGTCCATACACATCCATGCTATATACAGTGTGCTAACCTGACCAATAGCCGTATCCTAACATTAGCTTAGCCAGCCTGACTAGTTTGCTAGATGAGCTGGATCTCCACAATTGACAGTGTCATGTTAAACAAACACAGAGAGGAGGAGCTGTTCACAGATGGTCTGTCATCATTGTTGTCATGTGTTTGTGCATGTGAGAAAGAGAAATAGTGCGTTGCACGGAAGGACTGAGTGAATACATGCGCTACTTGTGGCACTATTGAAATAACATTTAACCTATTTTAATCACTATGTGGTGGTCTATGTTGATATTGTGGCAGCCCGCCACAAATAAGTCAATGTATGGGAAATATTGGACTGTTTTTTCATATTCATGTGTTTAGGTATAGAAAAGTATGTCCTGCTGATGTCCATCACCCTGGGCTGTAAAATAATATCAACTGATGAAAAAAATGTTTGTACTGAACACTGTTGATCCCTTATACCCACTTCAGTTACAGTGTTTTGACTGATGTAGGGCCTCAGAACTTCATCAAGTATAAATCATATCATATATACAGTATATCGTATTGTATATATATCAGTGTGTAGTCATTTTTGTTCCATTGTATGAAAGCCTATAAGGCTTTGCAGGAATACAAATCTGTCTCTTATTCTGAAACATGCCACAAAGTGTGAGTCACGGCTTAAAACACTGAGATTTCCTTGAATTCAAAACCAACCTATTTTCTTGCAGGGTGGCCTGTGATTGACTAGTTGCCTTGTTGCAATACATCATAAAGAAAGAGAAACACGCCATTCTGTTTTCTAGCTGCAAGTTGCAATTCAGAAGTCGATGCCTTCACATTTTGACTGCAAGGCCAAGGGCTTTTATTTTCAAATGGCTGTCAGTGACAGTTGGCACCCTGACTTGCTGTCTGCAATGATACAATATATTTACAGTGGCAGATGATAAATAGATTGCACGTCTCATTGCTTTGTCTCCGTGTGAGTCTGGACTCACACCAGTGACCCAACAGCTACATCTTCACTGTGTCAAACTTGAGATGTTACAAAATCATCTATTTTCTATGAGAAAACCAGTGCAGAGGAACAAATACATTATTGTGACAGAGAACATAAGTTTGAAATCTGTGATCTTTAGCAACTGTGTTAGTAAACAACATTCATCTAAAACAAGGCTCTTGCCAAGCTCACACTTCCCCTACTCTTCTGTTTTTAAAGAAAAACAAGAATGATCTTTTTGGAGCTGAGATCAGCTGGACAGGTGATAGTTTGCTAGTAAAAAAGTGGTGATGGTACTGCAGTATTATTCACTTGTGGGCTTTATGACAAGGACAAGATTTGATAGCTATAAATGTCATCTTATGGCAAAGTAACTGGTCCTGATCACTAACTTTATTGTTTCAGAGAATTATTATGGTCATTTTTGTGTCACTGGGCAGTAAAATCTTCTTAATTTCCCAGTATTTTAATATTTATTGCTGTACTATATGTAGTGCTCTTGTGTTAGACACAGACACACACAACAGAAACACACACACAGGCACGGCGAAGAGCATGCCAAAATCATTTGACCCTAATCACATAAATTCATTACATCAGAACGATCTGTACCTGGCTCTTGCCACTGGCAGGATCAGCTAAGTGGGAAATGATAGCACGCACGTTGTTAGGACGTTGAAAGCATGTTGCTTCAAAGGCTTATCTGATGGCAGCTGAGCTGTCCAGATGATGTCAGCAGCAATAACCCTGGTGTGATCTTAGCAACGTTGCTTGCCAGCATGACATGTCAACATTTAAGTGTCTGTTTCTATAATCTGAGAAGCTGGACACTGATCCCATCGGAGCAGAGATTACATTGATCTCAAGGATAAAACCACGCAGCTGAAAAGACTCCCTCTGTACACTGACTACCGTTCAAGATTTCAGACTGAGATGCATCAGGATTACACCGCATTTAAACTCTGTAATTTTATGGTATTTGTTTAAAACTCTGTAGCATTTCTAGTGTTGGCAAACATATGACAAGAAGATCAATGCATCAGAAATGCAGATACCTCAGGCAGTTTGTTATCCTCTGTTCTTGTGTTTGTTTGGGTGAACTTCTCATGTTTTTTACCTTCAGTTTTATGCACACCGTTTAATGTCAGTATGATTTGCAGTGAAGGTCTTTTTTTTTTTCAAATCCAGGAAAGGTGACATTCTAGTAATGCACAGAAGTCATTTAGAGGAGGTGAGGCTGGATGGTTGGGTGTAGAAAAGACAGGACCCGTGTGTTTTTGGTGAAGCTTAGGGAGAAATATCCTGTCTTGTGTTCAAGTCAGCACTGACTTTTTCAGTATTTAACCTCTGCTTAATCTTAACTAAGTGCTCTGAGCTGCCTAATCATACAAATGTTAATCATGCTTTAGTTGCCAGCAGTGAATATGGTAGGAACAAAGATAGTGTGTGCTCATGTTTCTTTGGTATATGAATGAAATACTATATAATCCAGGTAGCATGTTGTTGCTCGTGCAAATTTATTGCATCTGAAATGACCTTTTATGAGACAGAATTGTCTTATCCAGACATGGTTGTACAGCTGTCACCAGTTGTCACCATGCTACACTTTTCATTTGCTCTTCCACCAGAATCCTTTTCCTTCAAACCACCTGAGTCTTCAAACTTATCGGCTGAGTTTCTATGCAGAGCTCCAGTCTCAGGAATGGTGTTCCTCTATCAACAGTAAGCTGCAGACTTTTGCCAGCTTCACTGCCAACAGTTGCACAGTGTTCACCTCGAGATCTGAGGCTTAGCGTGGACAAGCCAGCCAAGACTCTTGGGCCTCCTCGGCAGACTGGGCATTAGTAGAGAGGGACATGGGAGCTTGGCAGGCTCTCCCTACCACCCCAGCTGGCTGCTACACCGGTGCTGCTGGCGTTGCCACAGAGATTCAGGGGGATGAAGGTGGGGCTTGAGAGAGAGCTGTGAAGCCGAGGGAGGTAGAGGACAAGGCAGTGGGGGATAAATTCACTGCAAAATGCACTGTAGGGGGGTCCAGATGGACCAGTGGGCTGTGATCTGCTGTGATGCCAAATGTGTGTTATACATAAAGACACGTGCAAACAAAAGCTCAAAGTATGCACACCAAAGAGTTGATTAACTATGTATCACTTAGTATTAGGTGCTTTGAACCTAACTGCATTGCACATTGTCCACATAAGTACATTAGCACTGTGTAACTGTGTAAATATCATTACTGGCCATCCATTGGTAAAGGTGGTGACACCCGGGGAAAGAGAAGAAGAAGAAAAGGAAGCGGGGAAGGGGTGCAACTTGGTGAAGAAGATGAGAGATGGAAAACGCAGACATATGTTAGGTATGTGGACTATATCTTAGATTGTCAATGCGAGGATATGCTGTATGATATTTGTCCTACATAGTTTGTAGTACATGACTAGATATTCTTCTGCATGGAGTTGTCTTGTAGTTGTGTAGTGTTATCGTGCCTAGCCTCGTAGCATACCTAGCTAACTTGTTAGCATTGGTTAGCTAAATAAATGTTGGTAGTGGTACTGTTAGAAATTAGTAAATCAGTCAGATAATTATTAGACAATGTGTTGAATCAAATGTATTAGTAATGCAATTTAGTAAGAATTAAAGTCTGCTCTAGTCTGCTCTGTTTCAAGGTTGACAGATAGAATGTTGATTCTGAAAAGTGTACCATGACACCAATTGTTTTCTTGTATTCATCCTGTGTTAGAATATTATGTCTGAATGAATGTTTTAGTTACACACCACGTGACAACACACACACACACACACATTGAAATTCTTCATTTTGTTATGACTAGTGATCGAAGCATGTGGAGCATAAGATAAGAGATGGAGTCGTCGGACTGACTCCATCTCGTGATGTTTGTAACCTTTTTGTGTAAGGGGTTAGCCCAAAACATAAAAATGTATTAGGCTCTGTGTGGCCAGGTCTCCTCTCTCCAGCAGCCAGTGTGTTTCTCTGGAGGAAGGAACAACCTGGGTCATGTTTGTAATTTTACTTGTGGTTTAAAATAAATCAGCACTAAAATGAAGAAAGACGGACTCCTTCGTTATTCAGATCTATCCAATAAAAGAACTGGGGTATAACAGTACTATAGCTAACCCAGCTTACTCCCAAGACTGGATTCACCCTTTCCCACCTGGAATTCATGGACATTATCCGAGACAGTGCTATGTGAGTGACCGGTTGGATCGTACAATGGAGCCCGCTACTCCGGACCTTCCCGCTGCTGCTTGCACCTGGACCCGAGGGCCAGTGACGGAGATTGTGACGCTTCCGTCTATGGACTACGAACTACTAAGTAAAGTACTGTCTTTTATTAGGCTCTTATGAATGAAATGGCTGCTTAATCTTAACCAGAGCATCCATCAGGCTGCAATGGGGGTTAAATCTCAGTGTATATGCGGCTGGTGAAGAGAGTGTGGTGTGGTGTGGTGTGGTGTGTGGGCCCACTGTGTGTGTGTTTATTTCATGCATTGAAAAGGGGGTTTTACAGAGAAGAGTTAAATGTATTTGCAAAAGGGATTGTCATTGTTTATGGTTTACCCTTGATTAAAAATTTAACTCTAACTTGTGTTTGGTTATTGTATACAGTACTCATAGGACCTAAGGGCACATAATGTAGAGAGGTTTATTACAAACTTAAGATTTATCAGTTACAGTTACTGTGAGTTAATTTAACTCAAGGCCCTTACCATATACAGTGGGTATAGGTGCCACAGGGGCGTGTGTCTAGTGCACAGTGTGCACACTGCACATATCACAAACACATTCTGTGACAGGATGAGAGACTGCAGTGCGAGTTGCTAATTTCAAAACCATTCCCACAGAAAGGGGGGCTACCATGAATAATAAAGGTGTACCTACTGTACATATGGCTCATTTTCTGGGAATACAAAATGCGAGCCATGAAATGTGCAGCTTCTGAAAATCCTGACAAAACTGTTGTGGTGAATTTCACAGACTCCCCGCTTCATCAGCTAAGTGCGAGTGTGAATTTGTATGCACCGCAGCTATAAGATGATTCCCTTTGTGTAATGGATAGAGAGGATTATATCCCAAGGCAGCACATTGTTGTGTAACGTTGAGGAAACAGCAGGAAATGACACCTCCGCAGTTGCCAAGTGTTTCAAGACGGATCCATGGCACCACACTGTTCTTTAGTTAAAGAGCCAAAAGGTAGAGTTTCAAAAGAAAATGGTAAACAAAGTTACACATACATGTCGGTAGATATTGACTATAGATTAGAAGCTCTCGGTTTGAATCTCTGTGAATATGTGACACAAGAAGCTACAGTTTATTGTGGATGGTCTTGAGTGCAGCATTTAACCCCCAACTGCTTGAGCTACGCTGAGACCAGCAGGTGATGGTGGTTTGATGAGGGACAGGTGTGGATATTTATAAACACACAGCAAGGAAAGCATACATTATCACCTCATTTGTTTGAAACTGGTCAATGAAAAGAAAACATTCATCCAGTGTCTATAAATGATGCAGCTTGTGTTCCATCAGCTGAGTACTGAGTGGTGCACCAGACTCACAGTTCGAAGTTCTGACCTTTAATTATCATAATTATCATTCCTCAATAGGCTTTTCTGTGTGATTTTAGGAAGAGCATTGCTTTTAGCAGTAGCAGAGCTTGTGTTATTTAGAATTAAGGGTCTTGTGAAGTTTCCAAGATTTGAAATACTGACCTTTAATTATAACTTTGCCCATTGGGCCAGTAAGTTCAATTTCTTAAAGGGTCAGTTAACCCAGAACAAACATCAATTTTGAGATATTTGCTGCTGAAATGTCTGCTTCAAATCCAGTACAGTTTAAGGTGAAGTCTTCAGGTTTGTCATTGTGAGTTGTTCTAGACTTCAAACTTCAAGCTAAACAAGGTGAAAATAGGAAACATGTAGAGAATGATTTAGGTGATTAACAGCTCACATTAATGCTGGAACTTAGAGTAACACAAAATATGTCTGACTGGAAGTAACTTACACATTATATCTACAGTAAACGATAAACTACGCGTCTTCCCGTAATGGCGACCTGACCCTTTCAAATGTCTAGATGCCTAATCCCTCCTCACAAGTTTTATAAAAAGTGGACTTATGGTGTTTGAAATATGACTGAGTAAAATAAATTAAAGATGTGACTGTATATGTAACACCCATATTCATCCTATAGCTGCAGCAGAGCTGTACAGTCCATTAGTTTCCCTGTTTTTTGCTAACACATCATTTTCACCTTAGTCTAAGATTATGATGGTAACCATGGAGACCACTCACCATTGCCTCTCTGCTCCCGGTATCTCTGCCTCTCCTTTATCTCTGTGTCACTGTCTTTGTTGTTACTGTGACACAGTGAGTCCTCCTCCGTCAGCTCCTCACTCTGCTCCAGCTCCCCCTCTGATACTGGAGACACAGAGAGCGAAGCCTTGTCCTGGGTGCCCTCCAGCCCGCTGCCTGAATGGTTCCCAGCACTTCCACTTTGCTTGTCCTCCCCACTCGCTGCTCCTTCCCCAGCCTTGCATGAAGATTCCTCACTCCCGCCTTTGTCCACTGTGTTGGTTTGAGCTCCAGGTTCTGCATGGATTTTGGGGCTTGAGGGATTTGAGGGGCTGCAGGTGCTGAGGGAACCGAGCACAGAGCTGGGGCTGGAGTGCAGGGAAAGGGAGGGGGTGTCTGGTTTTCTGATCCTGGTGCATGGGGCCCCATATGGTTCCTGGATGAATCCCACAAACATCACCCCCTGGTCAGCAGCATCCTGAATCTGCTGTTGGGAGCAACAACAATAAAGTACAGAACAAGAAAATTAAAAGCTAGATTAATAGCAACAAATGCTACCTTGCATTCAATAATTGCACGATTAGAGCTAAAACATGTCAATCGACAGAAGATGCATCAGAAACTATTAAGATCATTGATCATTTTTCAAACCAGTACTGTGTCAAACATTCTCTGTGAGTATTTGCCGTATAATTGTAAATTGAATATTTTGAGGCTTCAAAAATAAAGCTGTGATAGGCATAGTTTCACTTTTTCACTGACTAAACAAATAGTCAGTTAATCAAGAAAGTGACTGACAGACTTATCAATGATTAAAATGCTCCTTGCATTTGAGAGCATACAGTTCACTGTCAGATTTCATGGGTTTAAAGCTGCACTCAGTAGCCTGGGTGTAGAGGAAAATGCAGGAACTGCAGATCCAAATTAAGAACCTATGAAGCAGAACATATATAACAAGTTATTTCCCATGAGTTTGCAAACTGAAAGCAAACTG